GTTCCGTCAGGCGCCTAGGTTCCCAGGGTGAGATGTCTCTCCATGGGATGCCTTCAACTATTGGCCTGTCTCTGAGCGGGTTCATGATGCCGCTCGTCATACCCTTGCCGTAGTAGGCTGCGTTTGGAAAGGCGAGCAGCTGAGGATGCATGCGGTAGCAAATCGACAGGTGGACCACCGCCGTGTCCTGGCCGCGGAGGGCGTGAAACATCCTGTCAAATATGCTGACACAGAGACCCAGGTCGTTGGCAAGCTTTGAGAGAACCGTAGGGGGCAACTGGTTCGGGTCGCCCACCAGTACCAGGGCTCCGCCGCTGTTGATCACGTTCACCGTAGACATGAGTGCATGCAGCTCCGTGGCCTGTCCGTGGCCTCTGGTGGAGATACGCGAAGCGTCAAAAAATTCTTGGGGGGGCCCTGGGTCACGAAAAAATGCAAGAGACTCGCGCATCAGAGGCCACGATCCCTTGCAAATTACTCAGCATTCGCGCCCCCGGGGCCAGAAGTCTTTTGCACATTACACAGCGTACGCGCTCCCGAAGCCACGATCACTTGCAAATTACACCACATCCGCGCCCCCGAGACCACGATCCCCCGTAAATTACAACACGTTCGCGCGCCCGAGGCCACGACCCCCCGCAAATTACTTCTCATTCGCGCCCCCGAGGCCACGATCCCTTTCAAATGAAGCCCTGTTCGCCCCCCCGAAGCCACGATCCCATGTAAATTATACAACGCTCGCGCCCCCGAAGCCACGATCCCATGCACATCACTCAATATTTGCTTCCCCGGTGCCACAAGCTTCTGTAGAATACGCAACACTTGCGCCCCAGGCCATCAACCTTATGTAAAGCATACAGTACTTGCGTCCCCGAGGCCCTAAACCCACGTAAATGACCAAATGCTTGCGCCCCCGAAACTTCAAACCTTCACAAATTATACAAGAGTTGCGTCCCCGAGGCCAGAAACCTTCGTAAATTATAAGATATTCGCGTCCCCGAAACCACAAGCCGTCGCAAATTAGCCAGTAGTTGCGCCCCCGAAGCCATAAGCCATTTGTAACTTCCACAATTCTCGCGACCCCGAGGCCAGGATTCGTTCTAAATTACGACGCGCTCGCGCCCGCCCCAGTCCCTTGCAACAGACGCCGAGGAGCCCGAAGACCGCCCCAGCCGCGCGATGTTTCCCACTCTAGCCTCAAGCACCCCCCCCGTCTTTCCAAGAGGGCCTCCAATGCACAGCATGCGGGGGCAAGTCCATAATGCAACACCGAACTCAACAATATCATCTGAACACACATCTGCCTTGCCGACTATTTATCGTCATCGCATGATGTTCCGACACTGCTTCAAGACGGCGCCCAGACCTCACGACGCAGCTCTTGCATAATCCACTATCCGAGAGAAGGGGCTGGCGGCAGGGGGCGAAGCCCTTACGGATATACACCACCACCACCACCACTCCCCCTCCCCCATCCCTTCTCTGCCCTTCTCTTCCTCCCCATCTGTCCTGGGAGAGGGAGGGGGTGCGGGAGGTGGTGTATGTGCTCAGGCCCCGTCGATCTGGGCCAGGCCCATCCTGAGGCTCAGGATCGGTGTGCCCTCCCTCCTGGCCAGGCCTAGCAGGCGCATACACCGACCCTGTCAGACGTGGATAAACCTGGCTTGTTGTCAAACCGGCTCCACCGATTTAATGCGCTGCAGATTTTGCGCGGGCTCCCCCAACCCGGCTCAACCAATGCGTTAGGCCACCTCCAGGGCCGCTAGCGGCTCCCAAACCCAGACCAACGCAAATCCATCATTGCAGGATCCTGCCTGCTGCCTGCAGGATCTGGCGCTCTGGCTGAGCCCCGTTTCACTCCATGTTCTGCCGGCTGACCCTGGGCCCAGGATCGGCCCTGCTGGGATCGGAGGGGTGGCCAGTCGTTGTCCCCACGGTCTGAACAGCGCGACGAAAGAATGCACTGCGGCCAGGCCAGAGTAAGCAGTCACATCGTGTGCATCGGGCTCCCCCCCGTGTTCCTCAGAGGGAACGGCGAAACTGTCCCCCAAGGAGCTTCTGACAGGTGCTGGGGCTTCAAACAAATTATGTTATTTACCCTTTGGGCCATGACGCGCGTTATGCCCCCCTTCCCCCTTGAACACTCCCCCCCGAGTGCGTCCCTGGCACTACCGCCGAGCGTCCGGCGCCACAGTCTATGGTGCTGGACCTACTTTGACTGCCCTGAAGCTGTCCTCTCCACTGCTCGCGCAAACATCCTACCCACCCACCCGCAACTCGGTCGCAAGACCTCTTAAGACCGTGACGGTAGGTACCAAATGGCACTTGGCAACGACACCGACGCCGACGACGGCAGTGACAACGACGACGACTACGACGATGCCGACGACGACTATGACGACACTGACGACGACTCCGACGACTTCGACGACGACGACGACGACGCCGACGCCGACGACGACGATGACGACGCCGACGACGACGACGGCGACGACGCCGACAACGACGACGACGACACCGACGACGACGACGCCGACGACGACGACGACGATGACGACGACGACGACGTCGACGACGACGCTGCCGACGATGACGAAGACGACGACGACGACGACGACGTCGCCAACGAAGACGATGACGACGACGAGGAAGGAGGGAGGACGACGGCGGCGACAACGACGACAACGACGACAACGACGAGGGAGAAGAAGGGAGGACGGCGACGACGCGAACGACGACGAAGGAGGAAGGACGGCGACGCCGACGACGACAACGACGAGGGAGGAGGGAAGACGACGACGACGAGAACGACGACGACAACGACGACGGCGACGAAATAGGAGGGACGACGACGAGGGAGGAGGAGGAAGGACGACCACGGCGACAACGACGACGGAAACGACCACGACGCCAAAGAGGACGACGACGACGAACACGAGGAAAGACACAGGACGACGTAGGCGACGACGACGACGACGACGCGGGAGGAGGGAGGACGGCGACGACGACGACGACGACGACGACGACGACGACGACGCAGCAAGAGCGCGCGCGCATGCTTTTGTTGAAAATACGTGTTGCGAAACCTTGTGTTCTTGTAGGTTTTTTTGACGCGCGATTTTGAAATCCTTCCGAAACCGATGGGTTTTGAAGGATTTCGGCGTACGCGCGCGACGACGCGCGCGTCTGCACTTCGTCTCATTGTTTGCAGAGGATTCTCGCGACGGCACACGCGCAAGGGCGTTCGACAGATTTCGACATGCGCGCGCGACGCCCGTTTGGTAGCATGTTGTGAAAATCTTGAAAAACCAATGGTTTTCGTGTTTTTGTATGTGCGTTGGAAACTCGATTGCGAAATCCTTCCGGCACCGAAGGTTTTTGAAGGATTTCGGCATGCGCGCGCGACGACGCGCGCGTGTGCACTTCGTCCAATTTGTTGCAAAGGATTCGTGAAAAAAAGTTATGGTAGAACAAAAAATATCACCGCATAATGTTTTTACCAAGGAACCTCTGGGGGGGAACCCGGTCCCCCGGGGAAAATGTAAAGTCATATTCAGGATGGACATGTGGTCAGAATCATACATGATTTACATACCCGAAAAGGGGACCGCTAACGCCGGGAGGGGATAGAGTCTATTCTCTTTTTAGAAAGGAGAATCCACACGGGGGTGGGGGAAGGCGTTACGTTATGCCCCCCTCCCCTCCCCCCCCATAACACCCATTGCCGTCGCGACTTTCAAACAACTGCTGTCAGGGGGCCCAGGATCCAGCCGTGGCCACGAAGGCGGCCAAGGAGGCTCATGAAAGAGCCCTAGATCACCCAACAAAAACTCAACCTCGAACCTCGGTCCTCTAACCTCTACCCTCGATGGTCAGAGGAGGGGGGGCAGGGTCTTAGATTCCAATGCGCCGAACAAGAGGGGGGGCAGGAAGAGGGGGGCCAGCGCATCGTGGCCTGGGGCACGTGCGCGGACAACGAGGGGGGGGGGCAGGGAAGGTGCTTAAGAAAGAAGAAGAGGCGGCCGTGATATCGAAATGTCATGGCCGCGGCCATGACTCCGACCCACACACACACCATGTCCTCACCCCCCGCGCTTCTGGACGCCCCCGAGTGGGGAGGGGCAGGGTCTCAGACCGGGTGTTGCCAGAGGTGGTCCTGGCCCAAGACGTTCCCAGCGCTTCGCGCCGTTATGGAGCCCCTGGGGCCATCGGTGCCTCGCGAGGGGTGCTCTGGGAGGCCACCTGGGCATCCCTGCAAAGCCTGGGCCCATCTTGGGCAAACGCCACCTCTGGCAGTACCCGATCAAAATGCCCAGGACTCCAGGAGGGTGGCTCCGGGAACCGATCTGGGAGGGTTCGTGCTGGTAGAGGAAGAAAGGGGTCCTGGAGAAAACGGCTTCTCGTCCGTAGGGCCTGGGGCCTTCCCCCAGATCATTTTTTTGTGGCGCGGGAGCAGTGGAGAGCGAACATCCCAGCGGCCACACCACGATGTGAAACATGCGCAGGCCTCTGACCTTGCCTCCAAGAGCGCGCATAACACCGCGTGTGAAACTGGCACGAGGTAGAGTGGACAGCGCGGTTGCCAGAAACTGTCTGAGGGAAACAGGAGAAGCCTGGGAGAAGTGAGAAGACATTTCCCAGGTCGCTTTCCGACGGTCGCGGGGCAGGGGGAAGAGCCCCCCGGGAGCCCCTAAGACAGCGAGCACACGTGTGCGGGATCCGTTTCCTCCAAAGCAACTTGTCTTCTGAAGATAGCAAAAGTGCCTCTCTCATAATAAACTTCCCAGCAAGCGAAGCTGTTCAGTGAACTTACACAGGGAAGGAATCGAGCAGGGTACGGCTGTTCAATAGACGCCCAGGGCCGTTTAGTAAACGACACTTCTAGGGGTCGATGTGGTTTTTCCATTGATTCAGGGCGATCGGAGAAACCTGGGTGGGGCTGCACGACCCCCTTCCCCATATGGGAGGAGAGGGAATGCTACTGCACCAGGCGGCCTCTCCTCAAACACGGGCTGGCTCAGGTACACCTCGCGCTGCGTGGCCACAACGTTGAGCTTTTGCCTGTCGGGCATGCTGCCAATGTATGAAGCTTAAACGACATGAGCATAAACTTTCAGAAGTCCGCGCGGATTTCTTGGATCGACGCTGGATCCCCCTCCCTGACGCGCGGAGCGCGCCAGGGGCGGCGCAAGTGGCGCCGCCAGGGGGCTCCCATCGCGCATCGAAGAACGTGTATGCCGTTGTTTGTTGTTCGACTGCTGGGCATGTCGCTAATAGCTCTGGGACGGAGAAGTGGCACGATGTACAACATGCTGCGCCACACCCATCTCACAGACAGGCTCTCGAATGTCATCAAAGCTGATCCACCGCGATTCAAGCGACCTCACCGGCTCGGCTGTGCGTGTCGACTCGGAGCTTGGACTTCAGAGCGGTAAATACGGCCTGACCTAGGACAGAAGAACCTCCTAAAGAACATGAGACCCTCCGTCGGCCAAACAGAAGGGCATTCGAGGGTCCCCCCCAGGGTGCATAAGAACATCCAACAAGCTCGAAGAACATTAGGAATCCCTCCCCGAACCGACCTCGATCTTGCACCGCGGATCGACCGTAATTAATACAAAACTTTCGGAGGTCTGCCAACTTTCTCGGATCGGCGCTGGACCACCTCACTGGTGCGCGGAGCGCGCCAAGGTCGGCGCCAGAGGCGCCGCCAGGAGGTACAGTTTGGGACGCGTTTGGCCTCCGGGGGCCGTCTCCTGGCCCCGTGACCATCACAAAAGAGAAAGGGGCCATCCCTGGAGGCCTCCAGAGGACCCTGGGAAGCCCAGAGAGCACGAACCGCATAGACAACCTCGATCCTCCTGCTTGGCGGCGAGCGGATCTCCAAGAGGCGCGGCCCGTGACGTCGGTGTGCTGTGGGAGCTCGCCCCGCCCCTCCTCCCACAGCTCGCCCTAACCCCAAATTAGCGGGCGAAGAAGGGTACAGCATAAGCTTATCCGCTATGGAGGACGCCTGTCCCAGGGCGGCTGGAAAGTTCATACGCCACCTGCCACCGTGGGAATGTAAACTTCCAAGCCGCCCTGGGACAGGCGTCCCCAGACGGGCAAAAATATATTGTACGTACCGGTCTGCGCCTGCAAACTAAGCTGGAGACCAACAGCAGGTCCACTTCATCGTCACCCTCAGACTTTATCCTACCATATCTCTCCCTCCCCTCCTTCTGGCCGCCGGGCAGGGCGGGATGTAGATAATGCCACACTTGTTCCTGAAATTGAGAATGAAGCTCCACACTTGGGGCACCAGACGGCGCTGCGGAGCAGGTCTTCCTCCTGCCGCATCGATCTGATCCCTCCGTCTCCGTCCGCAGGCCTCCAGAGGCTCCAGAACCACCCCCGCCGAGGCACCCACAGAAGCCCGAGAGGGGCTGAAATGATGTCAAAACATCCAGGTCGTCATCGCGTCTGCATCGACGCCGCCGCCTGCGCTGGCCGCCCGCCGCAGCGCCGCTGGCGACCCCAAGGTGGACTCCCCCGAGACCCCCGAGAGAGCGCCGAGAGGTCCCAAGAGGGTCGAGATGTTTGGGCGCCTTTGACCCTTGTTAGGCTTCCCACGACTGGAGGCCTCTGAGAGACCTGAGATCCGACGTCACGAAAACAATGCAACCACGCGTAAAAACACAACCGGCGCCCTGGAACCAATCTTTCTCTGCGGCATGTTTCGAACTGGATCGATCCGTGAGGGGTCCATGGAGGCCGAAATAAGGCAAGGTCCCCCGTTGTGAAAAAGTGTGCGACGCCGAGATCTCAGGGAGCCCCCAGGAAGCTCTGTGGACCCCCGCGGGCCTCCCAGAGACCTCCGGCGGGACCTCCACGGAGGTCCCCAAGAGGCCTCTGCAGAGGCCGACCAGTCGCGGCAGCGCGGGCCTTGGCGCGCTGGCGTAGGCTCGGACTTCCGTCGCTGAGCGGCATACTCCACCCGGAATCCTGAGATCCGACGTCACGGGCAGAACTGCAACATCGTTACAAAATCGACCCGAGCCTTGGACCCCATTCATTCTGCGGCACTCTTCCCGCCGGATCGGTATGTGAGGGCCCAGGGGCCCGAAACAAGGCAACATCGCCCGTTGCAGAAAAAAATACGCTACGATCTCAGGGCAAGCTCTACACTGAACGATCTCCGCCGTCCCGGGTCTGCGGCGGCCCGTCGAGATCCTTCAGTCTTCGAGGCCTCCCAGATGGGGTCCGAGTAGATGAGTCGGCGGATTGCACCGCATCGCCGATGTATCGCCGATGCATCGGCGATGCACCGGCGACATCAGTGGGAGAAAATCAGACTCTAAATCGAGCCACATCACGCGCGATCCTCCGACCCCACCTGCTCGGACCCCATCTGGGAGGCTTAGGTAAATGCCCGTGCTGCCCAAGTATCCTCCGCCGTCATCTTGTTCGCGACGCGGCTCCCCAGAGGTCAGGACCCCTTCCCGGTGAGCACCTTTTCGTCCCGAATCACTGTTTGGCGGTCCTGAGGCCCGGCGAAGGCCCTCTGGAGGCCGAAAATGGGCAAAGACCTCCCGTCGTGTTTGTTCGCGACGCGACGATGTCAGGGCGAACACGAGTCCGAACGCATGGTACACGGGAGACAGCAGCCACACTGCACAAGTTGGCGACGAGCCCGGTGGTGGGGAGGTGAGAGCAGGCAGGCCTATTCAGAAGGCGGCGGGGCTTCTCAGAAGCCCCCTATCACCTTTTCTGAGAAGCTGCCTCTGTGTTCGGAGAAGACCTTCCGAGACCTCCGAAAAAAAGCCCGCCCCCTCTGACTTGCCCCCTGGGCTCGCCGCCGAAGAACGACGGCGGCTGCTCGCCAGACTGTGCTGTCCGTGAGCTGCTCGAGCGTGTACACCTCTTCTGCGCCTGCGCCGCCTGAATCCCCACCCGGCGTCTCCACGGCGGCCGCTTTCTGCGCGCCCTCGGGGGTGGCAAGCCAGCCCGGACGCTTCGGAGCGCCAGAACCGTGTGGCGACGGTCCGTCACCACACGGCTTTGGGTCCGTCACCACACGATTTTGGGACCCTGTAGGCCCCTGTCGCCCGAGACGTCCTCGGAGAACGACCCGAGTCCCAAAACCGCGCGGTGACCACGAACCCTCACTGACTCACTACGCGGTGTGGTCACTACGCCGTCTGGGGGCCCCCAAGACATGATCGCGTCGCGAAAAACTCTCGCCAGGACCCGGGACTGTCAAATAACGATTCGGAAGGAAAGACTGGCACTGGGGAAAAGGGATGGGACTTCGGCATTGAAAAATCAAGACATCGCATGTCTGGGAGGGAGCAGCGCATACCCGAGGCAAGATCGACGGCACGCCCGGGGGAGAAGGCACAGGGGGTGGGCCTTCTCAGAAGGCTCAGAAGGCCTCCCCCACCGCCTTCTCAAAGGCCCGACCCCTCTCACTTCCCCCTCGGCGCGCCGCCGAGCTCGGCGCGCCGCCGACAAGAGAGCAGACGTGCCCAAAGGGTAGATCGATTGAGAGAATCTCCGCGAGCCTATTCCTGGGCAAGCATCCAAGCCAGCAGGAGAAGTCATACACTCGGAGGTGCGTAGGAAACTAGATGGGACAAAAATCTGCCAAATCCGCCGACTTCGGCGTGTGTGAGACGCGCTTCCGTTTGAGTCGTCGTCGTCGGCGTCGTCGTCGTCGGCGGCGTCATCGTCGTCGTCGTCGTCGTGGTCGTCGTGGTCGTCGTCGTCGTCGTGGTCTTCGTCGCCGTCGTCGTCATCGTCGTCGTCAGTCCCAAGGAACTTGAGGAACAAGAAAAGGAACGTCATAAGTACGTAAGTCGATTCCTTTCCTTTATCCCTTCCCTGCCCCGGGTCCTGGCAGGTCCCAGGAGAATGTGGGGCCCCCCCCGGGATCCCAGCGGGTCCCAGAAGGATTGGCGGGGGGTCCCAGGTCAGAATACGTACTGCCCCCCCGGGACCCCGGCGGGTCGTGGAGGGGTCGCCAGCGGGGGTGCCGGGGGAGTTCCCGCTTTCAGGGTCAGCGGCACCGGCTGTAAGGTCTTCGCAATTCGCCGGCCCAACGGGCCAGAGGCGTGCTAAGATCTCCGGTAACTACTTAGCAATATTTCTAGTTCGCGCGCGCGGGGCGGCCCCTGGGGGGCCCCGGACGAAAAAAACCCGGCCGATCCCCGGCTGACCCCCGGGCGATCCCCAGGGGGGAGGCTATTTTTCGCCACCCCTCACGAGGATCGTGGCCTCCGAGGGGGGGGCTGCCAACGACTACCCCCCCTCCCGCCCCAAGGGGCCCCCAAGAGCCCCCCAAGAGGCCCCAGGGGAGCCCAATACGCCGCCAAGGAGCCCAAAGACGCTCCCAAGAAGCCCCCAAGAAGCCCCCAAGAAGCCCCCAAGAAGCCCCCAAGAAGCCCCCAAGACGGCCCCAAGAGGCCCCAAATAGCCCTCCAGGGCCGGCGGAATGAGCGAAGCGATTAAATAAGATACATTACGATCGGGATAAGCTGCGCTGTGTGGACAGCTTCGCTGTACGAGCAAAATGCCTCCAGGAAGCTTCGCACCTCGGGAGCGGGGTCAACTTGGCAGTGCCGCCTGCCAATGGCCAGGCAACGCGTTGAACTTGCCACTGGCCAGGCAAGGCCAGCCACCTGCCACTGTCCAGTCCGCACGCGACCTACAAGTTTTCGTCACGTACCTGCGGGAAGCTGCCCAGAATCCGAGCCACCCTGAACATCTGGAGGTCTACTGCCAGACCCCGCATCGCGCATGGTCCTCCTCCTCCTCCTCCTCCTCCTCCTCCTCCTCCTCTGCGACCACCTATGGCCTCCATAGACTTAGCCAGGCGAGGCGCCGCGAACGTCGGCGAGGCCAGGCCCTGAGATCGCGGCGGGGCAAAAACTCACGACGTTTTGCTTCAGACTCCGTGGACGGCGCATGCAGGCTTCAAGAAGCAGCACTGGGAGCTCGGAAAGTGGCACCAGCACCACAGGGGGTGCGTCAACTCGGAGGGGATGATCCTAGATTCTGGCGCTGGAGCCCGAAATTTATCAGCACCACCACCACTGAGATCGGGATCATCCTCCCTCGGTGGAGGCACACCGCCGATAACGGAGCGGGTGCCAACCTCGATTCCTCCGACAGCATGTCTTCGATATCGGGTCGGATATTTCACCGATTTGACACGCAACTTATGCCACGGCCCGTACGTGTGCACGGTAGCGAACGCGCACGCCATCCACAGCGCGCACAACGTTCGCCACAACCTGTCCAGCCTCTGCAAGGCCACCCCGAATCCTCTCCAGGCTCGCCTTGGGTCCCACAGCGTCCCTGACCCCCCATACGATCAAATGCCGAGGACCGAAGCTCACAGACGCTTCTGAACCTTTTGGGGTCTTCTGGGGGCGCCCCCGATGCCACGGCTGGGTCTGCCTCTAAATGCTGGCCAAAAAGATGTTCCAAACGTCGTTACGTAATCACGGCGAACTTGTTTCTTGCAATTGGGGTCTCCTGGGGACTGGTTTCGGGACCATGGGACAATCAATAAGAAGCGCGCCGCGACGGCACACACACACACACACACACACACCACACGCATCCCACGGATCAGGTCGAAAGCTCCAGGGGCCCAGTCCGTGCGTGAAAAGGTCACGACGTTGGAGGTCTGCAGCGGGAAAGAGCGCTCGACACCCAATTGAACAAGCGAGATTGCGCTGACGAAGGGCGGCTCCTCCAACTTCAGCACGGCCTCCTCCTCGGCTTTCAGCTTCGCGGCAGCCTCCTCGGCCTTCAAACGCACTTCCTCCTCGGTCTTCAGCCTGGCCTCCTCCGCTTCCCGCGCTTCCGCCTCGGCCTCGGCCTTCAGCTGGGCCGCCTCCGCCTCCTCGGCCTTCAGCTGGGCCGCCTCATCCTCGGCCTTCAGCCGGGCCTCCTCCTCGGCCTTCAGCCTGGCCTCCTCTGCTTTTCGTGCCTCCGCCTCGGCCTCGGCCTTCAGCCTGGCCTCCAACTCGGCCTGCAGCTGGGCAGCCTCCTCCTCGGCCTTCAACCGCGCTTCCTCCTCGGCCTTCAGCCGGGCCTCCTCCTCGGCCTTCAGCTGGGCCGCCTCCTCCTCGGCCTTCAATCGCGCTTCCTCCTCGGCCTTCAGCCGGGCCTCCTCTGCTTTCCGCGCTTCCTCCTCGGCCTCGGCCTGCAGCTGGGCCGCCTTCTCCTCCTCCTCCTCGGCCTTCAACCGTGCTTCCTCCTCGGCCTTCAGCCTGGCCTCCTCTGCTTTCCGCGCCTCCGCCTCGGCCTCTGCCTTCAGCCTGGCCTCCTCCTCGGCCTTGAGCAGGGCCGCCTCCGCCTCGGCCTTCAGCCGCGCTTCCTCCTCGGCCTTCAGCCTGGCCTCCTCTGCTTTTCGTGCCTCCGCCTCGGCCTCGGCCTTCAGCCGGGCCTCCTCCTCGGCCTTCTGCTGGGCCGCCTCCTCCTCGGCCTTCAATCGCGCTTCCTCCTCGGCCTTCAGCCTGGCCTCCTCCGCTTTCCGCGCTTCCGCCTCGGCCTCGGCCTTCAGCCGGGCCTCCTCCTCGGCCTTCTGCTGGGCCGCCTCCGCCTCGGCCTTCAACCGCGCTTCCTCCTCGGCCTTCAGCCTGGCCTCCTCTGCTTTCCGCGCCTCCGCCTCGGCCTCGGCCTTCAGCCGGGCCTCCTCCTCGGCCTTCTGCTGGGCCGCCTCCGCCTCGGCCTTCAACCGCGCTTCCTCCTCGGCCTTCAGCCTGGCCTCCTCTGCTTTCCGCGCCTCCGCCTCGGCCTCGGCCTTCAGCCTGGGGCCTTCAACTCCTCGGCCTTCTGCCTCCTCCGCTTTTCGCGGCCTTCAACCGCGCTTCCTCCTCGGCCTTCAGCCTGGCCTCCTCTGCTTTCCGCGCCTCCGCCTCGGCCTCGGCCTTCAGCCTGGCCTCCTCCTCGGCCTTCAACCGTGTTTCCTCCTCGGCCTTCAGCCTGGCCTCCTCTGCTTTTCGCGCCTCCGCCTCGGCCTCGGCCTTCACCCGGGCCTCCGCCTCGGCCTTCAGCCGTGCTTCCTCCTCGGCCTTCAGCCTGGCCTCCTCCTCGGCCTTCAACCGTGCTTCCTCCTCGGCCTTCAGCCTGGCCTCCTCTACTTTTCGTGCCTCCGCCTCGGCCTCGGCCTTCAGCCTGGCCTCCAACTCGGCCTGCAGCTGGGCAGCCTCCTCCTCGGCCTTCAACCGCGCTTCCTCCTCGGCCTTCAGCCTGGCCTCCTCTGCTTTCCGCGCCTCCGCCTCGGCCTCGGCCTTCAGCCGGGCCTCCTCCTCGGCCTTCTGCTGGGCCGCCTCCTCCTCGGCCTTCAATCGCGCTTCCTCCTCGGCCTTCAGCCTGGCCTCCTCCGCTTTTCGCGCCGCTGCCTCGGCCTCGGCCTTCAGCCGGGCCGCCTCCTCGGCCTTCAACCGCGTTTCCTCCTCGGCCTTCAGCCTGGCCTCCTCCGCTTTCCGCGCCTCCGCCTCGGCCTCGGCCTTCAGCCTGGCCGCGGCCTCCTCCGCCTTCAGCCGCGCATCCTCTGCGGCCTTCAGCCTGGCCTCCTCCGCTTTCCGCGCCTCCGCCTCGGCCTCGGCCTTCAACCGTGCTTCCTCCTCGGCCTTCAGCCTGGCCTCCTCTACTTTTCGCGCCTCCGCCTCGGCCTCGGCCTTCAGCCTGGCCTCCTCCTCGGCCTTCAGCTTGGCCGCGGCCTCCTCCGCCTTCAACCGCGCTTCCTCCTCGGCCTTCACCTTGGCCTCCTCCGCCGTTCGCGCCTCCGCCTCGGCCTCGGCCTTCAGCCGGGCCTCCTCCTCGGCCTTCAGCTGGGCCGCCTCCTCCTCGGCCTTGAACCGCGCTTCCTCCTCGGCCTTCAGCCTGGCCTCCTCTGCGTTTTGCGCCTCTGCCTCGGCCTCGGCCTTCAGCTGGGCCGCCTCCTCGGCCTTCAACCGCGCCGCTGCCTCGGCCTTCAGCTTGGCCTCCTCCGCTTTCCGCGCCTCCGCCTCGGCCTCAGCCTTCTGCTGGGCCTCCTCCTGGGCCTTCAGCCTGGCCTTCTCCTCGGTCTTCAGCTGGATTCCCCCCTCCTCGGCCTTCAACCGCGCATCCTCTGCGGCCTGCAGCAGAGCTTCATCCTCCGTCTCGGCCTTCAGCTGAGCCGCGTCCTCCTTGAGATTCGCACCGCCGTCTTCCTCCTGCTCCTCATTATCCTCTTCGGCTTTCAGCTGAACCTTTTCGGGGCCAGCACGCGGGATGGCACTGGTAGTGTGAGGAAGCTCGAATTGAGATGGGATGCGCGCGTGTGGACAACTCGAACATGAACCACCTTCCTTCTTCTGGACGTGAAATGTAATGGACGAAAGGGGAGGAGTATGTGTCGCTTTGCTGGATTCACCTCATTTCCCAACCATTCCTTCAATTCCTTCCCTTGCCCTTGAACGCCTCCGCATCCTCAAGGGGGCTTTGAAAACTCAAGACTCTCAAAACTTACACGTACCTCAATCCCTGGCCCAATCCTCGACGCACGTGACTAACGGGAAGGGCACGACAGGGTTACGGCGGGAACACTGGCTAAGCACACAGGAGGGGCCCTCTGGACAAACCTACTTTGGGGGGGAAATCGTGGGTTCAGATGTGAGGGGCCGTCGCCGTTATTGTCGTCGACAACTTCGTCGTCGACGGGGCCGCGGTCGTCGTCGACGATATCACATATGCCGTCGCCGACGTCGCCGACGTCGTGCTGATCGTCGCAGCCTCAAAATACTCGTCACAGTATTGGCTTGCCGTCAGTTGAAGATTCGTTGACGTCGACATCGTCGTCGTCTTGCCCGCCCCTTTGAAGCAATTGTCCTCGGCATCGATGTCGACGCGGTCAACCCGTAGACCACCGCAAGCTGCAACGACGTCAAGTCGACGAAGTCGTCATCGCGGTCGAAGTCATCGGTGCCGTCAGCATCGTCAATACCGATTTCGGCGTCGTTACCGTCGTGGTCGATGCCATCTTCTCGATGTCACTGCGAACTACCGCCGCTTAGCCAAGAGGTGGAAGGACGTCGCCGTCAATCGGAATTGCAGCCAGGGCGAGGAGGAGCAATCGCAGCCGTCCGCTCCCAACGGGACTCCTTCGCACCTCCGCCATCGCTTGCTCGCTCACGTAGGCTTTCACAATCTCCAGTGCTTCTCCCATGGGAACGACATCCCTAAAGATGGGCGCGGGTACCCTGGAAGCCTACAGCGTGCTTGGCCATCCTTCTGGGAACAACATGCAGCAAGGTCTAGTTCTAATGCTAGGGCCCTGAAGGAAAGAAAATTGAGTAGCTATATACCCAGCTACGTCCCCCGATTCGTCTGGCCAGGCATCGCTCTCTGGATGGAGGAGCCCCCTCGCAGGACGCAAGCCTGTCTAGAGCTTCCCTGCCTGCAGCTGTGGGTCTCTCACAAAAATCCGCCGACCCTTCAGCGTGCGTGAGGGGGGGGGTACGGGGGGGTGGTATGGTGAGGGGGTAGGGGGAGGCAGCATGAGAGGGGGTACGGGAGGGGGCACGGTGGGGGGTCCCGAGTCAGATCACCGCCCCCCTCCCCTACCCAGTCACCCCTGTGGACAGGGAGAACAAGGAGGGGGGGTCCCCGGGGAGGTCCCGCCTGTGGTGGGGGAGGGTAGTCCCGGGTCAGGGTCAGAAGAAGGCCCCCCCCGGGGTCCCAGAGGGTTCTGGGGACGGGTGCGCCAGCAGGTGTCCAATGGAAGGTCCGGTCTTCAGGGTCCCATAAGGCCTTCACAATGTTGAAACGCCGATGCCCCGAACCACCACACACACACCTCACACCACCCAAGTCCGCGCATGCACCGAGACTTGGCTATGCTATCCTTGCAAAACCCCGAGGAGGGTTCTGCACGGGAGCTTGGCGACAATGATAACGATGGGTCACCTTTATACTCCCGAAATGCGCAACTGGTCGATGTAACTTCGACCGTTAAACACTTGAGCCAAAGGCAGCGGGGTTACTATACCTCCCCTGTCATACGCATGCTTGCATGTTAACACCCCCCTCGGACGCTGGTCCGCATAGGCTGACGGGGAGGTGCTTGTAAACACAAAGACAGGTTAAATCAAGCGACAGGCTGCGTGAGTATCGTCACACTGCCGAATTCGAAATGTCTCATAACCACGTTCACGAGCACCACGTCTCTCAGACATGTAACGTGAGCTCAAGTAAACATTCAAACAGTTACGAGTTTAAAAGTGGCATCTTAAAGTTCACACGGCAGGCTAGCATTTACATGGTTATGATTGCTCTCGCTTTTTATGCGCCAATAACTGCGGAAAATATAAAAGATGCACATGCAAATAGATTCAGCTCAATAGTCTACTGCAACGCTATTGTTAAGCCTGGTTGAGAGGGGAGATGAGGGAGAGCATAAAAAAAGACATGCCGGTCACCTGTTACCGTTTACGACCAGCGCGGGCGCCTCACTGACGGAGCACGCGCGCCCCTGGACTGCGGTAAACCACGGTGCCCCACGCTGGCCGCCGTATAGGACGACACCCTGTTAAGGGCCTGCGTCGGGCTGTAATAGTCGGTGTCCAGGTACGCGTTAATGCGCTCCTCGTCGTCCAACCAGCACCCCTCGTCAAAGCTCTTGGTGGACCCGTCAACAATATTGTGGTAAGTACCAATGGCCCTCCAGTAACTGGCGTGGGGGGCCTTCAGCAGAGGTTTACCACCTGGATTGTTGCGGAGATGCTCCTCGACCGCAACTCCGGTAAACGGGTTCACAGTCCAGTAAGGGTCGGTAAGCCAGTTGGCAAAGTCGTCACACGGCAACCACCCAAACCAACAGAGCTTCTCGCGATGGTCAATCTTACGCTCGGTAATGTGATCCGCAGGCCAGTTGTCACGGTAGAGCGCCCTCATGGACCCCTGGTCGTTAAGAGCGGCCTCCAGGATGGTCTGGTGCCAGTAAATCGGGGGCTTGTTGATGCTGCCCTTTAACTCCTCGGCGCTCCTGACCTCCAAATCCTCAATGAAGTAGTTGCGGTAATACACTTGGAGGCCATTCATATAACGACAATAGAGCTTAGCGAGGTCGTGCGTCGCAAACATGATCACGGTAACCCCAGTTGAGATGTAGCCGTGCGGTCCGAAGGTGTCTTCCACCAGGTGCTTAACGGAAACCACGGTGGGGTTGCCGTGGGGCAGCATCCCGGCCCACGTTAGTAGAAGGCCGTTAAGCTGTTTCTCGTTCATTTCTGGCGCCTTGTTGACGTAGACCTGCGTGTCTGGGCAGCTGTGAACGTCGAACCACATTGGGTGGAGATCGTTGACGTGAATCGGCGGCACGTACTCGTCGTCGAACAGGGATTGTACGTGCCCGACTGCGTCAACCCACTCGTCGTGCTTTTCCAGCTCCTTCTCCGTCAACTGAGACCTCCAGCTGCTTGGGCCCTTTAACACGGAATAACCAAGGAAGCCGTAGGCGTGCTGCCCGTAAATGTCGACGAACACCTCATCGTAGTCGTTTAGTTCCCGCCCCGCGTTGCCCGGAATAGATCGACCACCTGGAGTCGTTAACCCCTCTTTTGCCACATGTCCAACGAAGTTGCCTTCGAACCTGCGCCAGTTGTCGCGCGTCTTCATCGTTAATGCGACTACCTCCCTGGGGTCGGGCTCCACCTTGTAGTTGACGTCGTGGTCCTCGCTCTTGTCGTTCACCATAGGCATGCGGCCGTTGACATGATACAGTGGCCGGTACATGCCCCTGGCGACGTTCCGCGAGTATGCCGCAAGCTGCTCGTCCGTACGGTTAACAGCTTGAGGCTGCGGTGGAGGAACATACTGGGTCGATAACTTCTTGGGCACCGGAGGCGGGGGATTCATGCCGCTAGCACTGCTTGATGCACCTGACTCCCCAAGGCCTGGAGGAGGCGGCTTGGGCGCCCTCGCTTTAACCACCGGGGCAGGGCCCTTTGCTGCTTCGTCACGTTGACTGCCCTGTGCACGATCTTCATCCATCTTCATTCCCAGCTGCAGTAACTCTTCCAATTCCCGCTTACGCTCATGCATGGCCTTGGGTGCCTTCTTGTAAACAGGTTGGGGCGACGTTGACTGTGGGATCTTATTCGGCGACACGGATCGACCGAACCCTCCGGTCTTGGGCGTGGTGCCGGTAAAGCCCTGAGCCGGGGGTGCACCCGATGCTGCGGCAGCTCGGGCTAGAGGCTGGCTGGCCCCGGCCGTCGCGTTGACTGCAGTAGGAGGTGCCTTGGCGGCCTTTGCTGTTGGGGGCTGCTCGGGTAACGGCGGAGGAACCTGCGGGATGTTGGTAACCGGGGAGTTGATCGGGTCATGCAAGAACCTCTGTAATCCTTCCAGCCTCTCCGTTACTGCCACCAACAGGCGTAGCGCCGCATCACGTTTACCCTCGAAGTCCTGCAGGGGCGTGATGTTGTCGGTAAGGCGCTTGGCGGTGTTCAGGAGGTAACCGATGTTGTCGTTGATGCGCCTATACTTGGTTGCATTCTCCTCCGTGTTAACCCCCGAGTCGCGGTTCTGAATGTTCAGGTCCGTAATCGTCGCCATCAGGTCGTTAATCTCCTTCTGCGCCCTTTGGAGATTCTCGTTGACGTCGTCACTGTCCTGGACCAGCGCATCGTTCTGGCGCGTCAACTCCTCGATCCTCGCCGCCATGTCATCCGCGGCCCTTTGCACCTCGTCAACGTGTTTGTCGTAGGCACCGTGGAAGTTAATCGCCATGTTAGTGAGGGTGACGGTAAACGCGTGGGCAACGTGCACCATGTCGTCAACACGGCGGTTGAGGTTCCCACGCGTAACCGGTCCATCCCCAGCTGGGCTCTGGTCGACCATGGAGCCGTTGATGGTGAGGTTGACCTGGGGAGCCGCCATGCTCTCGTTCACGCTCAAGAGTGAGAGATGATGGGTGGAGAAGGCCTTTAATAGCTGCAGTTTGCTTGACAGAAATGAGCTGCGGACATCGACATTTGATACGTCAACATTCAGTAGCTGGTGCAGGCTCATGCCTGCCTGTTAGTGCACATTGATTCGTGTTTCGTAGATGTGTGCTCATGCTTTCACGACTGACATACTTGGTCAACGCATCTGCTGCATTCTCGTGCGTTCCGACTTTCACAATACGAATCACTCCCTCCTTAACTTTCTGCCGTAACCACAACTGACACACCTCGATATGTCTTGCCTTCCCCAATCCTCGTCT